CCTTCTTCAAAAGTGTCCATCAGACTAATCAACTTTGATAAATTCTCATTTTATTCAGATTCTACTTTGAAGTTACAATCAGCACACACATTGCTAATAATAATATACCTGAAACAAATGATAAAAATGACTCCATAATAGTGACGTGTTAGAGGACGAGTGAAGTGGACTCCACAATGCTCAGATACCATGGAAATTAAAGAGGGTCACAACACAATTCGCCATGAATGCGGCCTTAGAGATAAAAAAAATATATATATATATATATATATTTTTTGCCCTTAATTCTCTATGTTATGATGAAAATCGTATCCTCAATTTATTGGCTTGAGTTCAAAGAATTGTTAAAATCAAAGGCCAATGCATACAAATATCTTCTTCTCCTCTTGGAGGGACTGAGTGACTGGTGCTTGTCACCCCGAGGACTCTCTCTCAATAGTCAACAGCTGCCTTCTCTTTTGCAACTGGCCTTTTTGTTTCTATGGTTTTTTCTCCACCCCTATTAACCCTTGCAAGAGCTCCAGCAAACTGTTCCAGCTTTTCTTCTAGTGGAGTTTTATGATATCCGGGGCACGTCTTAATTTCTGGACGGGGGAGGAGGGATATGGTCCCCAGCATTTGGCGTAGCCTTGTCGAAAATGCCAATACCATTAGGCTTTTTCATAGCTAAAGATCTGGCGATATTTTCCGGTGAAATATATGTGGTCCTTTTGTGATAAGAGCATACAATGCTGTCGTACGTGAGATTTTTTGAGTTTGGTTTGTCTTATAGAAATAGAACCTTAAGTTTTGGTCTCTTAAATTGCTGTCAATTATTATTAATAATTAAAAAGTTGGGTCTTTGCTCCTCTTGTTTCGACGGTGGACGTTGAAGAAGTTCAAAGGTTCGATGGATCAATTTCAAACTTTCACCTACACCAAAGCCGAAGGTACGGTCCGTGATAAATCAATCCAGCCGTCTCAAATCAAATGTTGGGTGGGTGATCCTCTTTTTTTTTTTCTGCAACCAAATCGTCTTTGCCCCTTTTCGCTCGAGACCCAGTCTTCATTCTAGAAGTAGTTGCCTCGCATGAATCAATTAACAACTCTTGCGGCCAATATTTCAGAGCAATGACCTGTACGTACGAAACCCAAAGCCTTCGGTGGATTATTAGATGTTGTAGAATTCATTATTGGGAGGTTAGCTTTCTGTGGATTCAGTCTTTCACGCATTAGCATAGAATGTGATCTCGTGAACAAGTTACTATAATTGGTCAATCTGCTCTTTAGCTTTATGGGATTGGTGGGAGTATTCCGTAAAGGAAAAGCATGAGAGAAGTCTTTTCTGTGGATTCCTTTCAGCAGCACTGCTGCCCATTTACCCAAGCAGTGACCATCTGCCACGGTACACTAATCATACGCAGTCCATTAATTTTGGACAGTGCATTATAATGCATTAATGTGAAGATGACAACTGGCCTAACGCATATATATATATAGATTGATGAAAAGATCATGCAGGCTCACCTCAAAAGTATAGAAAATGACCAAACGAAGAGAGGAGTTCGCATTTGCAAATGCCATTCAATATCGATGAATTTTTGTCCCTTTTTTTTTTTTTTTTTAAGGTATAACTCACAGGTGTCCGCGTCTGTTTTTTCGTTCTGTGACTAATCCTGTTCGAGTTGGGTCGAATCCCTTGCAGGGGAAACTCTCCCAACGTTATTTTTTCCATTTCTATGAATTTCGAACCCGAAACCTCATGGTTAAGGGATGCAAGCCCCTTCCACTTGCACCAACATCCATCGGTGATGAATTTTTGTCCATTACATATGAATGAGTCCATGCATGCCTTGATCTATCTAACTACATGTGAGCTCGTATAATTTGACTCACTCTTGTGTCATGATCAACTTTGTCCCTGATTTCTATTGCTCAATGTCGAGGAAAAAATTTAATGCTAGAGAGCCCACCAAGAAGCCCTATGGCTGAAACCCAACCTCGATTCGAAAATTTTATACATTGGAGTAAATATTATCTTTCTTCCTCTCATAAATTAATTAATACTATAAGACAAACAACTCTACTCAATATGCTAATCTTGTTTTAACTGAGTAAACTCTGACACTGAACTGAAAAAACTTTCTAACCCCACCTTAATTAATAATTCATCCACTTGTTCCGCAAATTACTCAAAGACCGCTTCTTCTTGAAACCATCCAAACTTAGAAGGTGGGTCTTCATGGAGTCTGCATGTATTGCCATATCAATACACGTACCTTATCTACGAAAATTCTTCGTTGAAACACAAACTATTTTTTTTCAAGCCAATTGTACTTTGTTGCTTTTTTTTTTTTTTTTAAAAAAAAAAGTCAATTATGCTTTGATATTCACATACATGTCATGTGCATCACCCATTCGTTGCGCATCAAAATCGAAAAAGCGACGTAGGCCTAACCGGCGAAAAATGAGATAAGAAATTGAAGAAAATGGCGCTAGATGGTTGGCTGGCTGGCTGGCGGACGAAACTAAATTTTGTGAAAAAGCTCAGAGATGTTAAATCAGGCTGGAAGATGATAAGGAGACGGTGGCGACGCTGATAGATAGAACTAGAAGCAGACTTTTGTTTTTATTTATACGCAGTGTTAGGTTAAATTAAGCCAATTGCTTGCTGCATCATTCATGGGGTCATCAAGCACGCGATTGGATTGGACCGCCTTTTGCGGGACAGAGTCGTTTCCACAATCCCGTCTTCTTCTTGGTCCGATAATCATAAACCCTGCGACTCAACAACCACTCCTCTCTTTTTTCTCTTTCTCCTCTTCTTCTTCTTCTTCTTCTTCTCTGCCCGCTTCAATAATTAGTCATCATTGTACACTCCTTCACCATGCATGCTGAATTTCTTCTTTTTCATAAAATGCATGCTTAAATTTCACAAACAACAGATAGACAACCTAAAATTGTGTGGCATCATGTCATGTTTTGTGTGGTTTCAATATGAAATTTAGGTTCTTTAAATCCAACAGATTTATTTATAAAGATAAACGAAACATGGATCATGGTAGCCTTTCCCACTTTTAGATTCGGCGGTTCGAATTTTGTCTGTCGTTAACAGTTAGTTGGAGGTAGGGAAGGGTGCGGAGGAGAGCGAGCGGTGGAAGAATTATTGAAAAAAGAAGAAGATAAACAAAACATGATGTTTATCTTCCGCTGTCATGGTCATTATATTATTGTTTTGGATGGACGACGACATGCCAATACCATACCCTTTAGTTTTGGATTATTTGTATAAAGAATTACGGGCTTAAAATTTATAATAAAAAAAGAAGAAGAAGAAGAAGAAATATTTTTGTTGATTAAGTTAAATGCTTGAGTTAATAGATAATACTCCACATATACATATATGATAGTGACAGATAGGGGTAGGCAAAATTATCCGCTAACCCGAAAATCCGTCATATCCGATCCGAAAATTAGAATATTCGATTTTTATTATTTGATCCGGTCAAAAGAGGGTCGGGTATCTACTAAGATGCGGGGCGGGTTAGGGTCACATAATTAAAAACTTGCGGGGTACCCGATCCGCCCCGCATGTATATATTTTTTATTTTTATTTTTATACACACACTATAAAATAATAAGTTAGAGCTAAATAAGTAATTTTATTGAACAAATTGCGTTACAAATATGAGAGACTATAGTTTATTTACAAGATTCATTTGTAAAAAGCCATGATCTTATATTTTATAGAAAAAAATTTAATTAATATGGAATATATATATTAAAAATTGTGCTACTTATTTCAAACTTTTATTGATTTTGAATTTTTTTAATTTTTTTTCTTTATCTTATATTCTCTTCATATGCTTGTTTCTTGGTGGGAAACCTTTTTTTAGAAAAAAAATTATTAAATCTTAGATGAATGTGTAAAATATAAAATTAAATTGGTATAAATTATTTTTTAAAAAAAATTAAATGATAAACGGGGCGGGACGGGTACCCACTGATCCGATCCTATTTTAGCTGGTACCCGTTGATAATCGAGGCGGATAAGCGTCAGAAAATGACTGACTCGCAAGATGCAGATCGGATCAACCAAATGGTGAATGGGACGGATATCTGACTCACGCCCACCCAGTGACACAGAGGATCAATTAAAGTGCCTTAGCCGTGCAAGTACAACATCATAATTATATTGATCAGCAGCCCCCCTCTGCAAACAACGAGACGATGGATTTTTTTATTGTCCACCAGAGACATCAAATGAAATGAAACGCTAAGGCTAAGGCTCCAATTGTAGCCTAATCATTGATGTATTAAGAGGAAGACATGGATTTCATTCAATTCCTTTTCACCAATTATAGAGTGCAATCTTTTTCACCTCCAGAGACTGCTAGAATATAATTAATGTAAAAGGAAAGCGACATTAAAGGCTTTTTCAGGTTAAATTAAAAGCTTCAACGTCCATAAAAAAAAAAAACACTTCATAATTGACCTAAAATTCATCATTAATTAAGAATCTCATATATTATTATAAAATCAAATAGTAGCATAGAACGCATAGATTCAAAATTAATTTTTGTTTTGGCTCCCTCTTTTTTAAATTTTATTTTCAAGTGTTTACCCTCCCCGGAACCATAAAAGAGTTATAGACCAACCCAATCTAGGCCTGGAAGGAAACCCTTTTCCATGCTGCATTCTATGTTTTATCCCTTTTCTTTCTATTCTTTGAATGAATAGATTATCAAAAACTATCCTTAAGTAACTCAACTTTGTCTTCATAATTCAAGTGATTTCTGATATAGTTAATCGCTCCATTCGCATTTAGATATACTCTTTAAATTTAATTTCAGTTTTCTAAGGTACTAACTAACGCTCGAGGCCGAACCCTTAAAAATTTCCTTTTTTGGACATGAACCTTAATGAAAATACGGGCCCAGCCCATTGATATTTTTTATCCAATACACTTTTGGACCTCAAATGGGCCGAAATTTCAGCATCCGACTAAAGAATTAAATTCCTGATCATGGCAACGACGATGGGAAGCAGGAACCGAACTCCAGATCTTTGAGCCTGGCTATCACCACCACCGGCAGCGGCGGCAGCAGCAGCAGCAGCCTGGTTCCTTTAGACATTCCGACCAGCAATTACGTCTAGGAACTTGATAATTACAGGTAATCTTCTTCTTTCTGTCACTCTTCACTGTTGTAGTAAAGAAATCGTTCTTCCTGATAATTCAAAGCTCCAATGTCTGGACTGTTCAAGGAGTGTCCTTTTTGTGAATTTCTGGAAATTTTATCTCGCGATTAAAATTGACTTTTGTTTGGGGCTCTAGTGATAAATTTTTCCAATTCTTTATTTGCTTGATCTTAGCATAGATTCTTTGAATTTTTTTTTATCTAGGGCATTTATATGGGTTTTTTTTTCCCCCACACTCTATGTAGGCCAGTGGTGGTGATATTAAGATTTGGATTTGGCAGACTAAGAAAATCAGTGGCCGTTGCTTTAATGAATAGCTCTTAAGAAGTTATGTATTGCTAAACATTTAAGGAAGAATAGCTAGAGAGAAAATAAAGAGTAGGATAATAGTGGGGCATTGCAGTCTTTTGCGATAATGACCGATGCATTGTGTGCTTGCAGGGAAAGTGTTCGAAACTTGTGGCCTTTCGGTTTGACGGGTTGCAAAATTACGATCACTAAGGTTTGAGGGAACTTCATTCAAACATCTAAAAGAAAATTAAGGAATGGATCTAAGTTAGATATTTTTAGCATTTCGAGTGGTGCTTCGTGTAATTCTTGTGTACAAAGGATAATCGATGGAATTATACATCTAGTTGTAGAATTCATAATTATTTGTTGCTTCTGCTTTGTTGGTATTCTGTATAGCTCCTCCTGACAAAAATTGTGCTGTTTTCAGAATTTTGTTTTGAACTTACAAGAAGCTAAATCTATGGCTGGTCGTGTTGATTCTGACAAACTTAAGGAGAAAGCCAGTGACAACTTGAATGATTTGCCCACCTTCAATGCGGAAAATATGCAGAACAACGCGAAGGTCATGTATTACAGGTCTGTTATGACAGCTGGATAATGTATTCCTGTCTGTATTGCTATGCTTCTGTCCTTCTTAAGCAGTCTTACACGTAATAAGTTGATGGATACTTTTATTGCATCCTATCATTGATACGATCACATAATTTTATAAAATTCAAGAAGTTTGTTGCCAATTTCTGGGAGACCATTTGAAATTTCTGAATCCATGCAGAGACAAAAATATTATTTTCTAGATATGCTGTGACATGCCATCAGACTTTTGTCTTTATCCAAAGCCAGCTATTAAATCATAATTAACTCTACTCACCCAAGTTGGAGACTAACTGCCCTTCGTAAAAGGACCTTATGGAAAACTAATTAATCCATGCTAAAGAAGAATAAATATTTTTAAGATGCAGTGACATGCCATCTGGCGAAACTGCCATAAAATGTTGATACCCTCTAGGATTTCTCTCATGTTAAAATGTTGGTAATGAGATATGGTTACTTCAGACTCTATTTAGAAAAAGTATGGCTGCTCTAGTGTTTAGTGGCCTATATTACGTGCCTAAGAAAGAAAGTTAACTGTTCCTGGGAAGCTGAGTGATGTAATTTTGTCTTCCATTAGCTGCCTTACCAGTCTTCCTATTCAATATCCAGTGAAAGAAAGAAGTCTGGCTTCTTTTCCGTTGCTTAGCTTCTAACTGAAATACCAAAAAGTAAATAAATAAACGTGGAACTTTTAAACTGCCTTTGAGATGTTGCTAAGCATGCACATGTATGATCTTAGCCCTTACTTGAAACCATAAGGTCCATTATTCATGTCTTTTTGTGTTTCTCTCCTTTGCAAAACGCCCATGCACTGAATAATGGTACTAATACTGGTTTCTTCTCCTTTTCCTTTTAATTGATTCATTTTGATTGGCTAATACTGGTGTTTCTTCTTTTTTTTCAGCCGAACATTTATGTCGATAATTGGAGGAGTCGTTGCTGGAATTTTGGGGTTAACAGGGTTGATGGGATTTGTCTTTTATTTCCTAATTATGGGCATAACTTCAGCCGGACTGGCTGCCAAGGCTGGGTTTTCGATTCATTCGTACTTTGACAGCTGGAACAAGATTTTGCTAGATGGTTTCTTTGGCGGGCTTATGGTATTATTTTGCATCATAATAATTCATCTTCCAAGTTTTCCTCTTGCACTATATTCCAGAATTTCTCTGGACTCAGCATTTGCAGGATGTTATTTGGTGTGATGTGATATTACAACTTGCATCTGTACGGTAGAGGTCCTCAATATTTGGATTTTTCATTTGTCCTGGATTATTTAATTTGCATCTTTTAGTCCATTTAAATCTGCAAAGAAAGATTCTGCTGAACTTTTAGTGAAAAATATGTCTTGGTTACGTGCATTTTATCTTTGAGTAAGATTTGTGTTTTTTTTTTAAAAAAAGTAGGATAGAACCTGATCTGTGAATTTGATCGAAAATAACAGTTATCTTTTATGCTGCAAAATAAAAAGTTGATGTACTGAAAGATGCCATTTGAAAACCTGAATTATTAGAATGAATTTGTGTGTTTTTAAGTTGCCAAGGGACTACAATTGTCAAGAAATGGAATTTTCTAAGATGTCCAATGCAGGGAAGATAATGCATCTGATGCACCAAAAAACTTCTCTAGCAGCCAATTTATGATGTTCATAATTTGTTTTTCCTTGCTTCACTGCATTTGTTATCTGAAGCTTAAAATGTCTATAAACATCTTTTTGCTATCTCAGCTCAATGTTTTGTCGAGTTTCACAAATTTTAACTGTACTTGTCCTATTTTCTGTTTGATTGACGCTGTTTTCCTTTCTTGCAGTCTTTTGTGCTGTTCTGGACGTATCCTTCAAGTCTTTTTTGTCATTAATCTTTAAGCAAATTGTTCTCGTGTTTGAGCTTTTTATATTTTAACCTAGTTTACGTGTCATCCTTTTGTTCTCTCCATCCACCTAATTTCCCTCTGTCAACCTGTTGGAAATTTGGCCTGTTGCAAATTTTTAATTTGAGTTGGAATTGTTAAAATATTCATGGAGAAAATATAAGAGCTATAGCTCTGGTCGCCACAGCTGTGAATAATATATCTTTAACTTGTAAAGTAGTTTTTCATTCCCTGGGATTTAATGGCAGCAGATACATTAGGAATGCATGATGCCAAGCTTTCTCACCCTCCTTGTTACCTTTTTACTTTCCCTCTATAGGCGTCCATTGATTGCATATTTCAAGTATTCCTTGACATGAAAAGATTTGCTTATGACATTGTGCACATATTCTGAGGAATTCTTCATGGAACAAGACTGGTCTTACTGCTTGCAAGGACAACAAGTTCTGGATAATCTGGAAGTCTTACATTTTGTTGTCTGACATTTCGATCACACAGCTAATGTGCCTCGAGAACTTTGGACCTTCTTCTTGCAGCTTTTGTAAGAATTTTACAGGATATCTTAAACGCCATGCGGCTTTTTGTAGTTAATTTTGGATACAATGTTATACTTTGTTTCACTTCGTGGTTAATTAAGGTTGAAAAGCTCCATCTGTTGACTATGCAATCTTTATTGAGATTGAACCAGAAAGTTTGTGATATCAAAATAATGATACGTCTTTCATACCTTGGTATGTTCTTGTTCTACTGCTCTTGAAATCCTATAAAGTAGGCGTTGCTGCTTCTACTTCAACCGATTCCTCAACCCCATGTGTTTGTGATTTTGGAATGTCCCTGGGATTTGGATTGTTTGAATTTTAACAAAATAGAGAAACTTGTTAGTAGCAAAGTTTTGTCTACTTTATATTCTTGGTTGATGTACTGGGTAAGTTCACAGTGCTATAAAAAGGGCGAAAGCAAACTATGCCTTGCATTTATCAGGAGTTGGACTACGATATGGGCATATGCCTAGCAGCCACTGGACGATTCATGGTCGTGGACCGATAAAATACGAATTTATGGCGACTGATTTTGGTATCTAAAATGATATCATTGTCTGAATCTATATGTTAAACTTGGCCTCTCCAATTTCATCAAGAACTTGTGTTCAATTCTTCATTTTCCTTTTTTTTTTTTTTATTTAAGAAAGAATTTAAGCCTCACAATGGGCAGCACTTGGGACTCCAGTGGAACCCAAAACTTTGAAGACTTCGACAAACTGCCCAAGACTGATGCCTCTACCCACCGGGATTTAGGCTACTCTTCCATTAATGTCTGGCTATCTGCCTTTGCTGGGTTGGTAAAGCGGCAAGCGTTTCTGTCTAGATATGGACTACTTTTTCTGGGCCCGTGTTGAAGTTCGGGTATAACTTTCTTCTTATAGAAACTAAGCAGAATGAATGACAGCGTGAGCCCTTTTGCTCTTCCTGATTAAGGACTGCTAAGCTTCCAGATTTGGTGGGAAAAACCATTTTGTACCTTGGACCCATCTCACATTTTACAGAGACCCTTCCTAACTAAAGCCGAGAGGAAAACTAACAATTGTGGCATAATATGAGCTCGGGATTTGTAAATCTAGTGACTTTTTTCAAGATTGTGACTTCGTAAAATTTAAATGCCAGATTCTGCAGAGTGGTTCACTGATCAATCCATCAAGTTTTCGATGGATAAATAAGTTAAGCTGTTAAGGGACCCTTACTAAAAAAATAAAATAAAATAAAAAGATATCTTCACCCCAATCAAAATGTTTTTATTTTTAGTGGTAAAATAGCTGAAAAACATCTGCACTCATGGCGCGCTGAATGTGAAGATCAGCAGAGAGTATACTAAGAAGGATAGTAGATTTTCATGAAAAAGAACTAACAGGACAGGTGGAGTTAAAGGAGCGAGATTGGGAGTGCAAATTACACTTTCCTATTCATAACAAAGGGAGAATAGCAAATTAAAAATACTACTTTGGGTACTAGTTTACTTGTGAGTAATTGGATGCCAGTTGATTTGAAAATGTGTAACACAACATGATACGAAAAGTTGGTGCAATCTGCAAAATCATACGAAAAGTCACAAAGTGGCGGAAGTGTATACAATTTTAAGTCCTTCAAATTTCACTTTCTTGCCAACTTAGCAATTACAGATCATCCTTCCAAAATAATGATAGTCTCCTGCTCTCTACCTTTGATTATCAAGAACTCAAACTCAGATAGAGGGCATTGGTCCGTACTCTTTCCCTGTAACGTAACTTGTACTGCTAATTAGCTTTGTTGCCACTCTAGACGTATATAGCAACATCATTAGTATACATATTCTGGACAGTTAGTCAATCTTACGCGCTTCTTTTCTAAGGAAATTGAAGTGTTTAGAGGATCAACCGTGGGTAGATCATGAGTCATAGCTACAAGCACGTGCAACTCCCTTGTAACACAACTGCAATCAACAGTAAAGAAATAGCCATAGAGATGAGTATGCTCTTTGCTGTCTCTATGATTCGGCCTTTTTGTTCACATTTTAGAGGGCAAACTCTAATCTCTTCATGATTAAAAAATGCAAAGACTTTAGTTTGGTTACCAAGATAGTACATTCCCAATTCTCAGTCAAACCAACTCATCATCTATCTATTTAATTGATTAGCAGAGCTCTATCCATAGAGAGGACAAATAATGAGGCCGACATGAATATTGTAAAGTAAGTACTAAAGAAGGAAAGCAAAGATTGAGAAAGAACTCCAAAGAAACAAATAGCAATAATAAAAGGGTCTCTTGCAAGCATAATTGAGGTAAAGAGCAGGAAAAAGATGATATTTTGCAGAAGGGTTTCATTTGACTAATACGCTAGTCACCATTTAAAACACCCTTTTCAGTATGTGGCCGATATAGCCATGTGCAGCAGCAGAGCTTGTACATTTGAAAGAGAATTCCTGGTCAAATTTTCTTATATATATATATATATATATGTGCGCGCGCGCGCTCTAATCAAATGACTAATCAATTAAAAACTGAGTTTTGGTAATCTTCCTCTAGACAAAGCAACCATCTTTGTTTGTCTTTTTAACTATACATGTTGCGTTTTGAGGCCTAGGTGGAAACAGGGATTAGGATAGTAGGAGACAATCAAGCTGCTTGTTTAATCGCTGTTTAATATATACTTTGTTTTACCAAGTATGTGCAATCATCTCTATCCTTTTCCTCATATACCAGTATACTTTCTCTGTCCTATCAGATTACGAGGGATTGTGTGACAAACTTAATAGTCACGTATGGCCACTCAGTTTCTTGGTCTACAGCTGCTGGATTTTTGCCGTCAAAGTGCAAAGCACATTGCATGTGCTACAAATAGTGATTTAGCTAAGGCTAAGTGTTAGTAAAGCAGATACCTAACCTTAGCATGCCATAGAAGCAAGTCGATCGTGGCCGCATCTGGCTAGAGCGTAAAGACGGAAAATTGTACGACGGCAGCAACGTGGCCTCATGGATCTACAAGGGATTGTTTTGATTAAGTGTAGGAAAAGAATACCTAAGAATTTACATTTAAAGAATTTCATGAATCTTTAGGGATAATGGTCCAACAGAAGAAAGAAAACTTTAACTGGAGGATTTTCTCGTGGATAATTTTGAACGCTGTTAAAGAGCGGTCAAATTGTTGGTCAAAGATGAAAGCATGGTGGTGGGTCCTCGGGATAGGGTTGGGGGAGGAGGCGGAGTGACGGTGGGAAGCTAGTGAGCGCCGAAAGGAATAAACGGACCCCCCATCAATCGGAGGGGAAAATAGACAAGAAAAGACAGGAATGGAATTCGATCTCACTTATTCCACTAGCAAAACATCCGAAAAGATTATTTAAGGCAAGCAGCAGCAAGCTTTGTGTTTTTTTTTTTTTTTTTTTTTTTAGTTGGGACCCTATAACCTTATAAGGTGGAAGGAATAAAAATTGGAATCAAATCACGTAAGAGAAAAAAAGAAGAAGAAGAAAAGAAAAGATTAGAGTGAATTCATTTTTGTAGTGATTATCCGATAGTACTAAATTTCAGGTCAAATGATGCATGGAGATCGATAGTTCATCAAGTGCTTCAACTCACAGCAGCTCAGCTAGTGTCTGCAATTGCTTAGCATGTAAATTCATTCAGCTGGTGATTTGATAGTTTAAGCTTATAAAGCACGATTTATCATTGCTTTTTGTGAAGTCTTGGAGCATGATCTCAGACGAGATAGATAAATTAATTGCCATGCAAAGGCAAGGCCTACTTGAACGTTAGTAGCTCATTCTGAGTCAACAGTCCCGAACCAAGTCCAGTTATTGGACCAAAAATGTGTTCTCCTAGAGCCAAGAAATGGAAAATATTTTATGTTTGCTGAGTTTTCAATCTGCATGCACGTACTTGAGGAATTAGAATCAATCCAGCGCTTTTTCTCTTTCGTTTTTTTTTTTTTTTTAAATTTCTATTCTAGTTCCATTGGTAAAGAAGCATGTAAACAATTAAGGTCAACACTCAAATATATCTTTTTTTTTTGGCCTCCTCTTTCCTTCCCAAACCATTCTTACCCCCAATTGTGAGGTTTAGGATTCAAATCCTGATCAACTTGATAGCGGTGAGATCTAGCTCTAAGTGGTCTCCCCTGATCATTGAAGTAATCCCAGTAGTTAAATATACCACATTACGCATTGCTAAACCAACAAGTAATGCTGAACCAACTTATTAACCAATTATGGGAATACATCTAAGAATCAAAGAGAACTAGTTTCAGTAACAAAGGTCATTTGTGCTAAATCATTGAGATAGTTAATCTGTTGAAGAGCCTTGGGGTAAGGGGAAAAGGAGGGTGAAAGAAAAGCAAGGTCTACTGCATGCCTCCAACAGCAGCTTCGGAGATGGTAATTCAACATTCAAATCCTCGCATGCTTCTGGATGTACAAGACATTATTGATTATCAGAAACAAGTTTTCGGTCATTGCCTCCACGTTACAAAAAGATTTGGCAGTTGTCGTTGATGGATTCCAATTTCCGCAAGAATTTAACCATTTTTATTTCCACCAACCTATGTGCATATATAGGTAACAGATAAAAGGGACGAAATGCTTGAATCATTATGTGAATCTTTGGTTCGTGCTTCATTGCAGCATGATGTTGAACATGAGGCTATAGTTGACTTTCCTTTCCTTTCCTTTGAGCAAGTCAAGTAATTAAAAAGATAAATAAATATATAATCAAAAGCCTTCCCTCAAAACGGGACCAAGACCGGCGGCGACCATTGCCTGAATTCACAAGGGACCATACATACAACTTTACATTCTGTTTTTGTTTTTTTCCCTTTGGTTCTGAGTTTTGAGTCAAGGACACGCATCTGGTGATCATAATTCCTTTTTTATTCCCCTTTTCATTTTACTTTCATTTCGAACACGTCGTAATATAGCCATGCTGCGTTAAACTCAAACTATTGTCCATTATCCAGACTCCAGAAAAACAATAATGGTACTATGCATTATCCCCTGACAATATAATGTGTCTTTCCTAATTTACTCGTTCTTTTGGCTTCCTAGTTCTACCATAATGGAGAATTTTTAATCTCTTGTTTCTTTCCACTTGTAGAATGTCAAATTTGATGAAGGTCCGGAAGATGCTTCGACCTTCCCACGCTCGTGAATAAGTATTATCTTGGTAGGGCCGTGCTCCTTTCCACTGCATTAGAGAGAATTT